GAGAGAGAGAGAGAGAGAGAGAGAGAGAGAGAGAGAGAGAGAGAGAGAGGCAGGCAGAGAGACAGAGAGAGAGAGAGAGGCAGAGAGACACAGAGAGAGAGACAGAGAGAGAGACAGAGACAGAGAGAGAGAGAGACAGAGAGACAGAAAGAGCCATACCTCTGGAGATGTGTCTGACTTCTTCTGATCTTCCTAAGCAGGATTGGGATTGGAGGAGAAGGTGGGAAGACAGAGAGAGAGAGAGAGAGAGAGAGAGAGAGAGAGAGAGAGAGAGAGAGAGAGAGAGAGAGACAAAGAGAGAGACAGAAAGAGAGAGGGAGGATGGGAGAGTGTATACATTGTCTTTTCCTTGCCCCAGGGTCTGGACTCCCAGAGCTGAAGACCATGCTGTCTGGTGTGGTCCTGGAGGACTACCTAGACATCAAGAACTTTGGGGCTAAAGTGGTGGGCCTCTCCTGCACCCTGGCAACAGGCAGTACCATCTTCCTGGGAAAAGTGGTATGAACAAGGCAGGCCCACCTTCCTCCTTGTGTCCCCATGCCTCTGGAAGCACAACTAAGTCTCCAAGTGTGACAAGACACATCTCAGGATAGCCCTGGGGTTTGGGGTTAAGCTGAGGATGTAAATGAGGGGGTGTTGTCTCTGGGCCAGACTTGTGGCTCTCTTTACCCTGGGCCTTAAGGAAGAAGAGGAGGAGGAGGGAGAGGAGGAGGGAGAGGAGGAGGAAGAGGGGGGAGAGGAGGAGGAGGAAGAGGGAGAGGAATGAGAGGTGGAAGAGAGAGGAGGGAGAGGATGAAGAGGAGGAAGAGGAGGAAGATGAGAACTAAAAAGAGGAGGAAGAGGAGGAAAAAGAGGAGGGGAGGAGAAGGAAGGAGGGGAACACTCATATTCCCCAGACCATGGACCCTTGGCCTGCATCATGCCGCCCCCTATCAGGGCCCCTTCGTGCACCTGAGCGTGATGATCGCTGCTTATCTGGGCCGCGTGCGCACCAAGACCATCGGGGAAACTGAGGTAAGGGGGACAAGAAAGAGCCCCTTTGAGACTAGAAGGGGAAGTGAGCTAGTTTTGAACCCAGGGTTCTGTTTTCCCCAGAACAAGGCCAAAGAAATTGAAATGCTCTCGGCTGCAGCGGCAGTGGGCGTGGCCACAGTCTTCGCTGCCCCCTTCAGCGGTGAGAGCTCTGTCGTCTCAGCCGCCTTGTGGCTCCCATGGTCCTGTCCTCCCCAGCTTCATCACTCCCCGCCCCCCAGCTGGCTCCCGATCCCGGCAGGAGAGCCTTCAATCCTTCCATCCCAGGGTGGTTGGGGTGGGCTGTCCGACTGCTGTAGACTTCCTTTGAACTCCTGTGGATCTAGTTTCCCCGGCTGGAAAAACGGAAATCCTCACGGTCCTACCCTGAAGGTGGGAATGGGGACATGCTGACCTTTCTTGGCTTGAGTCAAGGGCAAAGGCAATAGGGGCCTCAGGATATCCAGGCGGCAAGCAATAGGTGAAGGAGAATATGACCCCACATCCTACAGCTAAGGAAAAGGGGTCCCCCTGAGCCGTGTGTCCCCTAGGTGTCCTGTTCAGCATCGAGGTCATGTCTTCTCACTTCTCTGTCTGGAATTACTGGAGGGGGTTCTTCGCTGCCACCTGCGGGGCCTTCATGTTCCGTCTCCTGGCGGTCTTCAACAGTGAGCAGGGTGAGCATCCTACTGGGACTTAGTCTCCACCCTCTCGCTTCTGTGACTCCTCCCCCATCGGCTCCTCCTTCCTTCCCCTTTCCATTCACCTCTTCTTTCCCTTCCTGTACTAAACTAAAAGAAAAATCAAGTGTGTGTGTGTGTGTGTGTGTGTGTGTGTGTGTGTGACTCAGTTGGTTTATGGCTTTGGGTGACACTGGAGGAACGTCCTCAGTCTGTCTGCATCTTGGTCACCACAGTGTCAAGGAGAAGGTTAAACAAAATCCAGAGGACACATGCATGGGGACAGTCCTGTTTCTGGGGTCAGGACTTCCAAGGGAGCGCACCTTCAAGCCCAGCATGGAATTTTCCTATAAGAACCTTCATTGCTATGACCCTCAGTGCAATCCCCTATTCCTCAATCATGAGGGCTTGGGGCCGCTGTACTAGCTCTGAACTAGTGTGTGGATTCCACAAAGATCAGCTAAAGCATGCAGGCTAGGAGAGGAGCCGGGGCCCTGTGCCTGTGAACAGAATACATGAGACAGTCAAGGTTGGAAGATACTGAAATTTTCCTCTGGGTAGAAGGCTGTGTGACACGATCGGACACCTCTAGGGTCTCCACGTGGTCTTTGAGAGGGACACTACAAGTGACTCCTCTGACCTCGACGTGCCTCCTCTCCTGTCCCCAAACAAGCACAGTGGATAAATCACGCTAGACCCTGGTTGGGTCTTGGTTGCCAAATTGTTGCCAGAGCAGCATCCAATCATAGCGTGTGCTCTGTGCCCAAACACTCACCCTCCTCAAGAGGAAATGCCATGACAGATACAGAGATGGAATAACAAATTTACTTATATTTTGGTCAAAACCGGAAGGGCCACAACTTGGGGAGAAGCTGAGAAGAGGACACATGCAGATGTAAAAAATCTTCTGACATGTCTGAGCGCCTGTGGTACCAAATCCTCCTGTCTGACGCAGAGTTTTCTTGGGGAAGTCTTAGTTGCTAGCACCTAAGGGTCTAGTTGCTTTCTTCTTAATCATCTAGGCAGACAGAGGGGAGCTACCAGGGCTGGGTTGAGAGGAAGGCTCTAGGGGTGGAAAGTGCTATGGCTGGCTGAACGGCAGGCCCAGGTTCAGAGCCAGAGTCCTTTGATCTCAGGGCGTGGCGCTAGCTCCCTGGTATGGATTATTCTGGGAGATGCTTTGGGTGGGGAGGAGTGTGACCTCAGACCCTCCCTCCCCCTCCCCCAGAGACAATCACCTCCATCTACAAGACCAGATTCCGAGTGGATGTGCCCTTCGACCTGCCTGAAATCTTCTTCTTTGTGGCTCTGGGGTAAGTGGGGTCTCAGGCCCTGACAGCCCAACTGGGCTTCTCCAGGCGTGACCTGGGGGCAGCTCGGGATTCACCCGCACCGCCACCTCCAGGTTCATCTGCGGGATCCTCAGCTGCGCTTACCTCTTCTGTCAGCGAACTTTTCTCCGTTTCATCAAGACCAATCGGTACAGCTCCAAACTGCTGGCTACAAGGTAGGTGAAGACCGGCAGGGAGCACCCGCTCTCGACCAAAAGGCCGAGCAAGCCCCACCCCTGAGTTAGAATCTTACCCACAAGTCCCTTGGCACCTTCTATGTAACACCTCACGGTATACATTTCCTCACTAACCCACCCCGCAAGTCCCATGACCCACTTACTGGAAACCAGCGCATCACGGAACCCTTCCCAGCATGCATTGTCTCCTCTCTCTGAGCCTTCTCTCCCCCTGATCTGGGAGTTCCTCTTCCTCCCTCCCAGCCTAGCAAGACAAATCTCCACCGTGGCCTGGCTGGACCATCCTCACTGTCTCCCTCTGTCCCAAACCCTCGCTCAGCTCCTCCCTTTGCTGTTCCCCTCCTCCTGGGCTCCCCTACCTTCCTCTCTGGAGGGGGTCTGTCAGTTTTCCTGCCTTGCCTTCCCAGGGGTGGTGGGCTTGTCTTTGCTAGGGAGCTGTCATGTCTCCCTACATTGTGGGGGAAGGAGATGGGACAAACAAGAGAGATTTCCCTTTCTCTCCCAGCAAGCCATCCTACGCAGCTCTGGTCGCGCTGGTCCTGGCCTCTGTCACCTATCCACCTGGTGTGGGCCGCTTCATGGCTTCCCGGGTAAGAGGCTCTGAGCTATTGGGATGGGTGGTGAGCCCCATTTACTGTCTCCTCTGTGTAGGTCGTGTCTCATTCATCCCAAAACTCTCCAGGGGAGGTCCTTAGGGGTTGATTTTCAGATGATGAGGTTGTATTTCAGCAATGGCAGGGCCATCCTCAGGGTCCTCGGCTAGGAAGAGATAGAATAGTTGAGACTCAAGTGGGCAAGGGACAGTTGGGGACCCGCTGACCTACCACTGCCTCTGCCACAGCTGTCCATGGCGGAACACTTGCACTCTCTGTTTGACAACAACTCGTGGGCGTTGATGACCCGGAACTCGTCCCCACCCTGGCCTGCTGAGCCCGACCCCCAGAACCTGTGGTTTGAATGGTACCACCCACGGTTCACCATCTTTGGGACTCTGGCCTTCTTCCTAGTCATGAAGGTGGGTCCCTTCTGTAGATCTGGGTAGGACAGGGCTGCCTTCATGAACGGACACTGGAGCCCGTCCACTTCCAACCTGAGCCTGGCCCACTGTGCTCCCAGAGAAGTCACATTCACGTCTCTGGCCTTGGATTCCTTTTTTTTTTTTTAACTTATAACTCAGTTTCTTTGTCTTTATGATGAAGTAGCTCAGCATCCTTAAGGAGGTGGACATGGTAACATGCCTGAAAAAATGACGCCAGCACTGGAGACGTGGGGTCAGGAGGTTCCCTTAGGGCTCACTGATCTGTCTGTCTAACCTAATCGATAAACTCCAGGTCCGTGAGGGTCTGTCTCAAAGGAGGTGGACAGCAGTTATAAGCATAACACCCGAGCTTGTCCTCTCACCTACACACACACACACACACACACAAACACACACACAAACACAGGTACAAAATTTCACACACACTTTTAAAAATGAAGCCATGGGGTAGTTACTCTTTCTGCACAAAGAGTGGGCTAAGGGCAAGAAAATGAATGACCTAACGTGTGCTCAGCACACAGTGGGCACTTTAATAGGGTTTGGTTACTTCCCCTGTTTGATGTCATCTGTAATTCCAGTCAGTACTGCAGGCTCAGCACGGGCATCCTTTTTTTTCTGGGAAACCCCCACTTCTGCCTCTGTTGTCCGTAACCTCTGCCCTCCGGTCCCCTCTCCCATTCTCGGCACAGTTTTGGATGCTGATTCTGGCCACCACGATCCCCATGCCTGCCGGCTACTTCATGCCTATATTCATCATTGGTGAGTCTGGACCCTAAGAGGTTCAAGGGCGAGGGCATAACCCTGATTCCCCACACACTACCCGTCTCACAGCCAGCGGGTACTGAGAATGAAGCAGGGTTCGAGGGTCTTGGGGTTCAGGTCGGCCTGACCACTCCTTCACTCTGAGTCTATGGCAGGAGCTGCCATCGGGCGCCTCTTGGGAGAGGCCCTGTCTGTCGCTTTCCCAGAGGGCATTGTGGCTGGCGGAGAGGTCAACCCCATCATGCCTGGGGGCTATGCTCTGGCCGGTGAGTGAACCTCACCCTTCAGGTGAGAAGACTCCATGGGCTAGAATATACTGAAGGGGCCGATGCTTGTGTACGGCGTGGAGTGAATTGTACAGTGAACCTCCCAACTCCTAAAGCCCCGCCCACTCCCAAAGCCCCACCCATCATCCGCTGAACCTCCCAGCTGGCCTGCCTCCCTCTCTCTCCCTCCCTCTCTCCCTCCCTCTCTCTCTCTCT